TCTTGTACATACCAGTTGCGTTGCTCCTGGGAGTATGGGTTCGAGTCACTTCTGGGGTGTGAGTTTTCAGTTGCATATTGTCCTGGGGACCATTCAGGCTTGTTCGCATATATATATATATATATATATATATATATATGTCGTACCTAATAGCCAGAACGCACTTCTCAGCCTACTATTCAAGGCCCGATTTGCCTAATAAGCCAAGTTTTCATGAATTAATGTTTTTTCGTCTACCTAACCTACCTAACCTAACCTAACCTAGCTTTTTTTGGCTACCTAACCTAACCTTACCTATAAATATAGGTTAGGTTAGGTTAGGTAGGGTTGGTTAGGTTCGGTCATATATCTACGTTAATTTTAACTCCAATAAAAAAAAATTGACCTCATACATAGAGAAAAGGGTTGGTTTATCATTTCATAAGAAAAAAATTATAGTAAATATATTAATTCAGGAAAACTAGGCTTATTAGGCAAATCGGGCCTTGAATAGTAGGCTGAGAAGTGAGTTCTGGCTACTAGGTACGACATATATATATATATATATATATATATATATATATATATATATATATATATATATATATATAAATTTATATATATATTTATATATATACATATGTCATACCTAGTAGCCATAACGCACTTCCCAGCCTATTATGCAAGGCCCGATTTGCCTAATAAGACAAGTTTTACTGAATTAATATATTTTCTCTAAATTTTTTCTTATGAAATGATAAAGCAACCCATTTCATTATGTATAAGGTCAATTTTTTTTATTGGAGTTAAAATTAACGTAGATATATGACCGAACCTAACCAACCCTACCTAACCTAACCTAACCTATCTTTATAGGTTAGGTTAGGTTAGGTAGCGGAAAAAGTTAGGTTAGGTTAGGTTAGGTAGGTTAGGTAGTCGAAAAAACATTAATTCATGAAAACGTGGCTAATTAGGCAAATCGGGCCTTGATTAGTAGGCTGAGAAGTGCGTTCTGGCTACTAGGTACGACATATATATATATATATATATATATATATATATATATATATATATATATATATATATATATATATATATATATATATATATATATATATATATATATATATATATATATATATATATATATATATATATATATATACCTAGTAGCCAGAATGCACTTCTCGGCCTACTATGCAAGGCCCGATTTGCCTAATAAGCCAAGTTTTCCTGAATTAATATATTTTTTCTTATTTTTTTCTTATGAAATTATAAAGCTACCCATTTCATTATGTATGAGGTCAATTTTTTTTATTGGAGTTAAAATTAACGTAGATATATGACCAAACCTAACCAACCTTACCTAACCTAACCTAACCTATCTTTATAGGTTAGGATAGGTTAGGTTGCCGAAAAAGATAGGTTAGGTTAGGTTAGGTAGGTTAGGTAGTCGAAAAACAATTAATTCATGAAAACTTGGCTTATTAGGCAAATTGGGCCTTGCATAGTTGGCTGAGAAGTGCGTTCTGGCTACTAGGTACGACATATATATATATATATATATATATATATATATATATATATATATATATATATATATATATATATATATATATATATATATATATATATATATATATATATTTAAAAGTTTGTGAGGGTACCACCTCTGGTGCCAATGTGGGGACCCATAGCCTCGGAGAAGAAAATAAAAAGTATTCAGAGGAGACCTTGTGACCTTGTGGTTTCTCACTGAACACTAATATTATCTTCTCCTACCACCCCCATTCTTTTGAATGTACACATATATATTTACTTTATTTGAACTTTGTTACAAAAAAAGAGTTACATATGGGTTACAAAGATGGTTATCATAGGTTGTCGAGTTCCTCCAGCTCCTCAGGTGGCGGGCAGGAACCCTGGATGCAGTGCGCATATTCCCTCTGTATCGCCACACTGAGGCGCTGGAAAAGAAAGCTTGCAGCTCTTGGGTCCCTTGTTGTTTCAATGAGCCTAGAACCCAGTTCCTTCAAAAAACTGGTAGCACCTTTACCCAGGCGCTGAGTGTCTCAGAAGCAATGGGGACAAAATTGTAGTGGTGATCCAGTTCACTATACTTACGGGATTTGGCTGCTTCCCTGTGGGTGGCAGCGCCACCTGGTTGTGCAACACTTAGGTTAATGTAGGTGTTAGCCAGGGTTGATACGCACGTGTAGTCCCATACCAACTGCTTGCCATATATATATATATATATATATATATATATATATATATATATATATATATATATATATATATATATATATATATATATATATATATATATATATATATATATATATATATATATATATATATATATATATACATATATGTATATATATATATATATATATATATATATATATATGTATATATATATATATATATATATATATATATATATATATATATATATATATATATATATATATATATATATATATATATATATATATATATATATATATATATATATATATATATATATATATATATATATACATATATGTATATATATATATATATATATATATATATATATATATATATATATATATTATATATATATATACATATATGTATATATATATATATATATATATATATATATATATATATGTATATATATATATATATGTATATATATATATATATATACATATATATATATATATATATATATATATATATATATATATATATATATATATATATATATATATATATATATATATATATATAACTGAAAACTCACACCCCAGAAGTGACTCGAACCCATACTCAAACCGTACCCATACTACGTACCCAACCGAACCCATACTCATACTCAAACCATACTCGAACCCATAGTTGTGGGAGTATGGGTTCGAGTCACTTCTGGGGTGTGAGTTTTCAGTTGTAATTAGTCCTGGGGACCATTCAGGCTTGTTTGCATTTGTGTTCCTCACGTGTGCCCCAAAGAATGAGGTGATTTGATAAAATGCTATGCCCAAGATTACCATCTGAGTGCCGGCGGGGAAGTGGTTCATATAGCCTCGGCTATCACTTCCTTATTGTCCGGTCGTGATGGTCAAGCGGATTAAGGCGTCCCTGTACATACCAGTTGTGGGAGTATGGGTTCGAGTCACTTCTGGGGTGTGAGTTTTCAGTTGTAATTAGTCCTGGGGACCATTCAGGCTTGTTTGCATATATATATATATATATATATATATATATATATATATATATATATATATATATATATATATATATATATATATATATATATGCGAGGGTGCAAGCCAACACATGGATCCTGACCAACCCATCTCTAGGGAAAGAATTAACCAGAAACAGGTATAGCTTAGCTTAGAATAGTAAGAGGATCAAGCGGTCAGAGAATAAGGATGAGAAATTAAAGAAAAACCTCATGAACACACAATATATGAATATAAAATGTAATGTACTCATTACAATTGTATATTCATATATTGTGTGTTCATGAGGTTTTTTTCTTTAATCTTTCATCCTTATTCTCTGACCGCTTAATCCTCTTTGATTATTCTAAGCTAAGCTATACCTGTTTCTGGTTAATTCTTTCCCTAGAGATGGTTGGTCATGTTCCAGGTGTTGGCCGGTACCCTCCCTCTTTCCTGTAGTCAGTCTGGTGTTGACAACGGCTTTAATCAGGCCGAAACGTCCACTTCCTTTCACATTTCTCTGTGGATTTTCCACATAATCAAACGAAATGTTCGTTTACTCAAAACTGCTAATCTCTGAAAGTTCTTCACCGATTGCTTTGAAATTTTCACACAATGTTTCATTCCCATCCGAGCGAGTTTTTATATACATACTATATATTGAAAAAAAATATTTAAACTGTATTTTTCATGTGAGAGAAATCTTTGAAACCTCTTTACCGATTGCTTTGAAATTTTGACACAACGTCGCATTTGAATAGGAGCGTGTTTTCATATTCATACTATAATCATGCCTCACCTGTATCAGGAAAAAAAACTTTTTTGAAAAACAGTGCCATCTGTTGTACGTAAGAGGAGCCCACGCTATATTAAATTTGTTACTATTCCATTTCAATGTTTCTAATTTTATTGATAAATTGAAATTTCATAGATTTCGAAATATTTTCATTTTGATTTAATTATTTAGTGTGACATTGCGTTGGAATTGAGCATTGTTGTTTACCATACATTTGGTAATGCATGGTAAATAAATCATACATACCCACTCATTTCGTGAGTATAGTTTACTTTTTTATTTTATCATTATTTTCATTTTGTTTTTTATTGTTTTTCTTATATTTGAGTGATGGGAACATCAGATCATTTGATGTTCCCAATTTTCTGATAGGAACATCAGATCATTTGGGAATGTAGCAGACGAGGGAGTGGGGCATGGTGAGAAGGACGAGGGGCTGGGAGTGCGGGATGGAATTGAGGACGATGGGATAGGGGAGGGAGTAATGGTGGGAGGGATGAGGGGAGTTGGGGATGGTGGGGACGAGGGGACAGGGGAAGGAAGAATGGTGGGAAGGACAAGGGGACACGAGAGTGGGGCATGGTGCAGAGGACGAGGGAACCGTGGAGGGGGGAATGGTAGGGAGGATGAGGGGATAGGGGGGTGGGAGATGATGCAGAAGACAAGGGGACGGAGGAGTGGGGAATGGTTAGGAGGAAGAGGGGATCGTGGAGAGGACATAGAGATGGAGGAGGGACGAAATGGCGGGGAGGACGAGGGGACGGGGAAGTGGGGAATGGATGGGAGGACGAAGGGACAGGGGAGTGAGGAATGGTTGGGAGGACGAGGGAACGTGGGAGGGGAATTGGTTGGGAGGACTGGGAGACAGGGGGAAGGTTGCTCTTGCTGGGTACAGTTAGTTATAAATAAAATAAGATATAATCACATAATCGAGTTAGGGCAAATACATTATGAACTAGAAATTCGATTTGAGATTATAGAGGAAGGTTCTTAACACACACCTTTCTTCTTGGGGAGTGATGAAGATCTATACATCTCATGGCAGCTGCTGGTCCCATACTTATAGGTGACAACAATCAATGCTACGATCCCCAGTACCTGTAGCAACCGGAATGTCCACAACATAGCTTGGATCTAAGGAAGACAATCAGAGGGGACAAAATGTTTTATATCTGTCTTGTGGTGGTCAGCTTAAGGCCCATCAACTGCGCTAGGGTTAAAATACCAGCACAAGTTGTAACTGGACAACCAGCAAGCAATAATTTGTTTTGAAATTAGCCCAGGAATAAAGTAGACTGTTAGCGAATATACATCTAGAAATATGGTATACTTCGCAGGGATGAGGTGGATGGAAGGGGAGAGAAGGGGATAGGAGGTGGGTGGTGAGAGGGAGGAAGGAAGAAGATAGAGAGAGGGAGAAATAAAAAGGCATACAGCAGAAACGGAAAGATAGAGAAAGACACACAAGACACAGACAGTGAAGATGATTTGGGGTTCCTGGATCGACCGGGGCTCCGCTGGGTTTATCCTACCTAGTATCTATATCATTTAGAGAGAATGTTTGTCTGTGTGATTAAGTTTTAAAATTTACAGGCCAGACGCCTGGGGCCAGCCTCACCCAACTCTCCCACATGAAGCATAAGGGGGTCTGGCCCCGTCAATGATGCTTAGGGCAAGCCTCACCCATCTTTCCCACATGAAGCATGAACTGCTTGGGGCCAGCCTCACCCAACTCTCCCACATGAAGCATGAACTGCTTGGGGCTAGCCTCATCCAACTCTCCCACATGAAGCATGAACTGCTTGGGGCCAGCCTCACCCAACTCTCCCACATGAAGCATGAACTGCTTGGGGCCAGCCTCACCCAACTCTCCCACATGAAGCATGAACTGCTTGGGGCTAGCCTCACCCAACTCTCCCACATGAAGCATGAACTGCTTGGGGCTAGCCTCACCTAACCTTCCCACATGAAGCATGAGGGGTCTGGCCCCGTCAGTGTTTGACACAGAATTTGTATGAATAATATTAATTTATATATGAGAACAAACCAATTTTTAATACACAGTATGTTAAAATTGATGAATGCTTCTGGGGAGAACGGCCTCTGCTATAAACAGCCTAGTGTGAGGAAGGGTTGATGATTTGACATTAAAAGAACAATAATTGTTTTAAAATGTGTGATACGGTTCCATAACCTGCACATTTATCATTCATTATTTGGCAAATTCCCATTTCGTTTCTTAAATTTCTTTTCTAAACCAAATCTAGTAATTGCCTAAGTGTAGTTACAGGATGATAACTATGCTTGTGGTGTCCGTCTTCCCATCACTCTCTGTCATATAATCATTTGAAACTACTGACGGTTTTGGCCTCCACCACCTTCTCACTTTACTTGAGGTTGCTTCCTGGAGTTGCGTGTGGGAGGGTGCCATTTGGCGTGTCGGCGCCATGGGGGACCCCCCCTCTACCCTGTTGCGCGTGCCCAGTCTGTAGGCATCGAGTTTTCTGATCCAGCTGGCCATCCTGAGATGGGGCTAGTGCTGTGTGACATGCTGCGGGTCCCTGTGGTGGATGTTTATGGCATTGAACTGGTGACTGCCCGCAGGGTGATTATCAAGTTTACGACAGAGGAGGTATATCGGGCGTTTTTACGACGTAACGTGGGGCGGACCTTGCCCCTGCCAGAAGGTACAGGCACTGTGACTGTCTCCAATCGGAGTGGTGCCATCACATATGGGGCACCCATGGAATTCCCGGAGGGGCTGCTGAGGCGTTATTTCAGCCAGTTTCGAGTGGTCGTCAGTGTGCGGTTGCACCGGCTCTCCTCTGGTACTCTTAAGGGTGTGCAATCGAACATTCGTACCCTGGGAATGAGGCTGCGGGCGGACATTCCATCTCAAGTGAAGCTCCTGGGTTGTTACATTAGGGTGTATTATACCCGCCAGTCCTGTGTGTGTTACCGTTGTGGCCTCTTGGGCCATCAGGCTGCTGGGTGCTCTGCACCTGCTGTCGCACCCGTCAACCTCTTCAACGAGGAGGACTACGCGCCACTCCCTGTGGAGGAGGATTCGCCACATGAGGATTCGGTGGATATGGACGACACTTTGGCTGCTGGCGTGCCCCGCGTGTCGCCTGTTGCGCCTCCTGTTGCTGTCGCCACTCCTCAGGAGGTTGTGTCGCAGTCGGGTGCTCGTCCTGCCCCAGTTGCTGTCCCGGATGCTCCCGTGGTTCTTCCGGCTCCCATCTGCAAGGCTTCCCCATCTTCATGTTCTTCAACTGTGGTGCCTGTCACTGCGCCCTCGCCGTGTGCCCAGACTGTGCTGGGTGCTGGGGTGGATGTGGGGCCTCCTACTGTGCTCAACCTGGTTTCCCGTGTGGTTGAGGATGCTACCGTCCTGCGTAGCGCGTCGGTTCGCCCTGCTTGTGTTGATTGGGTCTCTGGGTCGACATCCGTCTCTGATGATGTGCAGCCGGTGCCCAAGCGTTCCCGGCGATCTTCTTCTGCCTGGGCTGATGTGGGAGAGTTCGACGATTGTGGGTCTTCCAGCGACGGCGATGTGGTTCTGGTTGCGTCGCATTCTTCGGTGGTGGCGGAGGTCTATGTGCCTGCGATTGCCAGTTACAGTGTTTCGGACTTTCCTTCTGGTGTGGTGCCTGTGGAGAGTGCTTTGGGTGCGTCGCCCGTGTTGGATGGTTCTGGTTCTGCGAGGGGGGGGGTGGTTCCTGCGTGTTCCATGTTTCCGGTTCCTGTGTGTAATGGTGTGCGCTTGTTTGTGGAGTGTTTGTGTGCCCTTTGGGCTGCTTGTGTGGCCCTGTCTGTTTTTGTTCCCGTTATCGTGTATAGCCAGTGTTCCATTCTTTTTATGTGTAGTCTTATGTTCCTTTCGTTTTCTTTTGTTGTGTATCGGTGGTTGGGGTGTTGGGTTCGGGTTCGGGTACTATGTGGCTTACTATTATTTTTGTATTGTTTTGCATTATGTTTATGCATTTGTTGGGTTTTTGTTGCCGGCCTTTTGGCTGGTGTTTTCTGTTTTTTATGTGTTTTCTGTATTTCATGTGTTTTATGTATTTTAATTATTTTGTGTATTATCTGTATTTGTCATTGTTTACTTCTGTGCTTTGTGTTTTGTGATTTGTGTTTTGTGTTGTTTGTTTTGTTCTAGGTTTGTTGTATTTATACGCATGCTTGCGTGTCATGGTCCCGTTCTCCTCATATCTTGTACTGTTGTATCTCTGTTCTGGATTGCATTATAATTGTGTTAATTGTTGTGTTTTTGTTGTCGCCCCTTCAGGCCAGTATTTTGTGCATTTATACTTTTGTACTTTTTTGCTTTTGTGCTTTTGTAATTTGTGATTTGTGTGCTGTTTGTTTTTTTCTCATTTATTATATTTATGTGCATGCTTGCATATAAAAATAAAAATAAAAGATAAAAAACTTTACTTGTTCCAACAGTCTGTTTGCAAAAAGATAATTTTCTTATATTTCTTAGACAGCTTTGTAAAAGCAGGAAAAAAGTAGAAGGAAAAATAACGGAAATGCTTAAGCAGACACGACTTAACATACAAAAAAGGAATAATTTAAACAGGGGAATTGAAGAAATCGAGCAGAGACCAAAGCATTCATATCAGATTGAAGACAGGCATCTAGAACAGAGAACAATTCAAAAATAAAGAAAACCCAAAATATTTTTTCCCATATGCGAAATCAAAAGCAAAACCCACTGCCAGTATTGGAGCTATTCGTACAAGTGAAGGTTTATGCACTGACGATAACAAAGATATTAGTGAAATCCTAAAAAAGCAGTATGCGGACATGTTTAGCACTCCTATAAACAGCATGAAGTGGAAGATCCGGACATCTTCTTTAAGTGATATCCCAACGCTTGTGATTTTTATTTATTTATATATACAAGAGTTGTTACATTCTTGAACACCAATAGCACACATAGCGTTTCGGCAAGTCCTTAATCTTATGTTCCTTGGAATACGACCCTGCCAAATCGTTTAACAACCAGGTACCCAGTATACTGTTGGGTAAACAGGGGGCTACAGTTAAGGATTGATGCCCAGTTAATCCTCCCCGGCCAGGATACGAACCCAGGATAAAGCCCTCACGAAACCCCAGGCGAATGTCTTAACCACTACTCCTAGCTGAATACGTACATCAATTTAAAATAACTTGTTTTGTTCCATTATATCATTGCCTGAATATGTACACACATTGTGTTTTTGTAAATTATCGTGTGGTGTGGCAGCGTCAGTGGGGACAGGAGCGCGGTTGCTTTTCACACATCTAATACCTGTTAGATTCGGGAAGTTAGAATTGCTGGACCTGTTCAGTTTGGGAGTTCCAGATGTCACTTTTATTAAGTTTATGTAATTGTTTATTTACTGTAATTAAGCAGGTGGCATTGTAATTATATATTTTGCAAGTAACTATTATATGTAATTTGCATTCTTATGTGTTTTGAGAAGAAGTGGTTGTTCAATTAGTTTTAAATATTAAAAAGTCTTTAGTTTCCATCCCTCATCCTGGATGAGGCAGACGGGAGAGAATTATGGGTACAGACAGGGGCGCGAGTAGTCAGTAGCTTCAAGGGACTCGAAGGAATAACATGTGGGAGATAAGTCTGTTTACTTGTTGTTGTGCCATATTTTATTATGTTATATTAAGTGTAATGACAATACTTTTTGGTTTGTTGTATAAGTTAACTTTACCATCTGTGTTTTTATATTATACTGTATTCAATATATATATATTATAAGTCATATGTATAATTTTTCAGTCCTAAAGGAAAGTTGTAACAAAGTGCTCATTACTTATCAAGGGGTTATACTGGTGACCCGCTCTGGTGAACAGCAGTTGTTTAGTAACCCTAGACCTTTTTTAAAGTTAGCTGTTATAGGGTCACAAGCCGTAACATATGATAGGTAACAAAGAGTTATGGGGGCCTGTGCCGGGAAATATTGTTCCCACTTAAACTTAACTGTGCTAATCTAACCTTGCCTTCCTAGGTACCAGTGTGTCAAGTGTGTGTTTCTTAAGAACTATTCCATGTGCCAAGCAAGCCTTCCTGTGTGTCAAGTAACAACGTTTCACGATTTTGAGGTAAGTCATCCTATATATTTGTTGTG